GAAAGGCGTAAGTAGTGGAGCATAGGGGATATTTAGGGCAGTGAAACTCTTCTATATGATGCTGTAATGTGGACACAAATACTATTATACATTTATCAAAATTCACAGACTGTAAAACACAAAGAGTGAACGCTAAAGAAATGTATCCTAGGAATATGGGATGTTAATAACAGGGAAAACTATGATGTTTGGGGGATAATGAGATAGTCTGGGAACTCTGTACTTCCTGCTGAATTTTTTTGCAAGCTTAAACCTGATCACAAAATATGAAGCCTATCAATTTAAAAAATTATGCCAATTTCAAATTTCAGTGTTAATATCAAATGAACTTTTATCGGAACACATCCATACCCATTCATTTACTCATTGTCTGTGAGCATGTTTGTGCTACAATGGCCTAATAAGTTGCCACAGTGACCAGATAGCTTACAAAGCCTGATGCACTTAACTATCTGGCCCTGAGCAGAAAACAATGTGCTACATAAAAGATCACCTCACCATTTATCTTGGTCTAAAGAACACACAACCCTCCTGCATCAGGTCATTGCTTACTCCTTCAGCCTCAACCCCTCTCCTATGTTTTCCTTTTGAAAACATCCATGCTTCCTCTTGCCCTTCAGTTTCTTCTATCTGAAAGACTAAGCAGAAGTAACTGGGCACCATTATGTCCCAGGCACCTCTTTTAGGCAGCCTTCAATGTGCTCCCCAACCTCGCCCCTCTAGTTGAGCCTCTCTATTGGAAATACCCACGTTCTTGCTGATCCCTGGAGACTGCTAACTTACTGAGGCCAGAGCTTCTTTTCTGCATCCTTGGCACCTTGTACCTGCTGTGTGGATGAGCTGGAAAAACCTTTTAATGGATTCTGAGCCTGGAGTCCATATATAAATGGACTCCAGGATCTATGAACTTCCGGAAGGAGGATGATAAATGCTGTGCGTGTATGTCTGGACATATTTTCTGGGGAGAAAGCCAATTGTTTAATGAGCTACTCAAAGGGGACCATGACTACTCCCCTCCCACGGAGAAAAGTTAAGCATGTTTAGAAGATATATAGGCATATAATCATCAGGATAAATGAACAAGATTTGTTGGCTTTGTCAGTTTAACAGAAACAAAGAAAGTTCTTGATCCCAGTCAATAATCCTATCACCATGACATACTTAAAGATGTGCATAGGTGTCCAACCCATCCCTCAAATTCATGACCAACTGACAAAGGGTTATCATTAGTTAAAAATACCATACGCCCAGGAGATTGGTATTCAAAGGAAGAACATTTTAGAAGAGATGCATTCAAATATGTAGAGTTGATTGGATCTATGCTTGTGATAATTAATTTTGTGTCAACTTGGTTATACCATGTTACTCAGTGTTTAGTCAAATGCCAGTCTAGATGTTGTTGTGGAGGGCTTTTTTTCTTCATGTGATTAGCATTTAAATCAGTAGACTTTGAATAAAACATAATACCATTCCTAATGTGGGAGGGCCTTACCTAATCACTTTTCCTTGGGTCTAACCTGCCCTGAAGACTTTGGACTCACTGGCCTCAACAACTGTATAAGCCAATCCCTTGAAATAAGTCTCTCTCTCTAGGTACATATCTGACTGGTTTTATTTCTCTGGTAAACTCTGACTAACAGTTCTCTCTCATTGAACATTGTGGTTTAAATATGCTACTTTGCATGAAGAAAAGTTTTGGATGAAGTTTTTTTTTTTTTAAACAGAGTCTCACTTTGTCACCTGTGGTAGAGTGCTGTGGCGTTAAACCTCACAGCAACCTTAAACTCTTGGGCTCAAGTGATTCTCTTGCCTCAGCCTCCCATGTATCTGGGACTACAAGTACCTGCTACAATGCCCAGCTACTTTTAGAGATGAGGTCTTGCCCTGGCTCAGGCTGGTCTCGAACTTGAGAGCTCAGGCAATCCACCTGCCTCAGCCTCCCAGAGTGCTAGGATTACAGGTGTGAACCACTGTGCCCAGCTTTGGATGAAGATATTTTACTTGGATCACTATTTAGTAATAAACCCAAGTTTGCCACTCTTCTGGTTTCTTAGTTAATGTTTTCAATTAATGGTCAAGATAACCATCAGTTTAAATGAACACTTGCAAATGAGAAAAATAGAAAGACTTTTTGGCATTTGGATGTTTGCAAGAGTTGGGTTATGTCTGAAGTCGAAACTTTGGGTCCCATTAAAAGCATACATACATCACCAGTAGGTGGTGATAGTCTGAAAACCAAAAATATGTGGATCTGGGTTTACCAATGGAAACTTTAAGCATAAGAAAGCCTAAAAATGTGGGCCAGCTAAATATTTCTCTCTTTTGTGTTTTGGCTTTCTTAGTTCTATTTCTGCTTACTAAGTGGACCACTAAGCTTTTACATTTTGTTTGCTGCTGCTTCACAAACATTGTAACAGCAATTATGGAATTTTGTTTTAAAGAGGAAAATTTACTTATAACCCACTACCCTAGAAACACATTTCGTTGGGTTTCTCAAGAACACAGGCCCAAGGAAAGGGCAACAGATCAGTCAGTTAAGGGCAGAGCCCTCTGGAAAAGGGAAAATGCACAGAAACTACAGCGGGACAGCTGTCATTTTTTAGTGTAGTTTACAAGTTGGTATTCTCACAGCAACACCGAGGCACTGAAAGAGCATTTGCACCATTTGGAAAGCAAAGAGGCTGCTGCGTTTTTCAGAACAGCTGTCTCCGTGAACTCTCCCCAGGCTCAACTATCCACTGCCCATTTCCCTTTTTGTCTTCTAAAGCCCCAGCATATGAGGATTTGGCAGCCAGAACAAGGCTGAGTGCAACTGACACAGGAAATGGCCTGTTCTGGACTGGGGCCTGCATGCAGCTGAATGGGGACACATGGCTATGCTTTAGAAAGGAAACAGCTGTCACTCAAAGTGCTCAGTTCAATGTCACCAACTTGTCTCCTTAATCTTAGTGTCATAACCGCCTTAGGAAGGTAACGCTAATGACAGGACGGAGTATCACCAAGACTTAACCTTGCAGTTTGGGCATCACTTTACGAAGGGGTAGAAGTGGGAAGTGAATGAAAAGTTATTTAATGTGTTCCACAAAGTACTGGGCACTTTTTCTTTTTCTTTCTTTTTTTTTTTACGTATAGACTGCAAAGGAGAGTAATTAAGATCATTGCCTGGGTTCCAGCCACACCAGCTGGGTGGCCTTGGGCAAGTCACTTATCTTCACCAGGTCTCATGCTCTGTCTGAAACAATACTACTATCTACAAAATAGAGTTATTATCAGGACTGAATTAATTATCACATGGAAAGCATTTAGAGCAGTGCTGGGAACATAGCGAGTGCTATGCTGTTATTATCTTTACTAATTGACTTTAACACAGCCCTGTTTATCCTTTTACAGTTGAGGAAACTTGAGGCTCATGGAGATCAAGTCAATTACCAGAGATGGCAGAGCCTGAAATCAAACTCAGATTTATCTGACTGCAATGTTTTCTTTCCATAACTGGACCTGGCCTGCTCAATGCTATTGAATTCTCTCTCCTGCTTGCCAGTTTAGGGTTTAGTTTATCAGCCCTTCTTTGTCCTGACGAGAGTGACATCCTATATGACTGAGGCTCTGTCTTTAATCCTCCCTTCCGCTCATTCCTGGAGAAGGGCCAGGGGTGAACATGTGGGGGATTGGTGGAAGGAGAAACTTCCCTCCTGAGTTCCCCTCTGTTGGCTTACCTGCTCTTTCTGATGTTGCCTCTGCTTCCCCCTGAGTATTCTGTATTAAGTGTTACATCCATTATGCATTTTACATGTACAGCCCTAGAACCATACACGGGGCAACTATAACTGCTCCCAGCCGGAGCTTTGGATACCTGTCCACCAAGGGCCTTCTTTATTCAGTCAGCGGCTGATTATGTCTAAAACTGCTCGCTGCTTCCCTTTTCTTCCTCCACCAGCCGATATTCTGACGGCAAAAACATCCAAAACAAAACCAAACTAAACAAAAAATGACGGAAAGAGTAAAGAAGTGGCCTTTTCTCTGAATTTTCCTTGATTAGTGGAGGTTGTTCCGGCAGTGGAGGTTTCTTGAGCGGTCACAGAGCGTTTGGGACCGTCTGAATGCTCTGTACGTCTCACCCTGTGCGGTCAGATGTGATGAAGAGGGCATTTCAGGTTCTAGAAGGACTCGGGGCTCCTCTTGGACCCTGACAAAGTCCCTTCCTGTGTCTTGTGCCCATGGGGACGGTGTGGCCTCCACTGACGACAGCACCCCGGAGGGGAGAGCAGCCGGATCGTCCAAGCAGAGACTTGGCAGGGCTCAGATTTCCTGGACCGGATGGCAGGCCGGAGCCCGGAGTCCGGCGTGGCGCTGGCGGGGCACAGGATGCGCGGCCCGGAGTGCGCATCCCGGGCATCCGCCCGCGCTCGGCCCCGCGCCGCAGCTGCTGCAGATTCGCCGGGCCCGCCGCCTCCTCCCGGGACTGGAAAACTGCAGGAATCTCCCTACCCCGGCCGGGCGTCCACCTCCCTGCAGGGGCTGCGGGGCGGAGTCGCCCACCTGTCATCTGAGACTCCCACGTGGGTCGGCGGGGTGGGGGCAAAGGGAGAGAGAAAAGGCTGAGGCCTCGAGGGAGGCAGGAGTGAGAGTGGGGTGCGGAGAGGAGCGGAGGAGCGAAGCCGAGAAGAGAGAGAAGCTCTCTGGAGCCGCGCAGAGAGGGAACGAAGAGCAGAGAAATACAGAGCACCTAAGACACCCACAGAGGGACAGGTAAGCGGTGGCAGGTGAACAGGTAGGAGGAAAGAACCAGCTAGGGAGAGTGGGAAAAGGAGGAGGCAGGATTGAGGAAAGGAGAGTGGATGTGGGACGAGGCAAGATGAAAATAATGCCAGACAGCGAAGGACTGTACAGTTAAGAGGGGTGAAGGAAGATCCTTCAAAGACCCGCTTGGGAGGAACTAGGGCCGCTGCGCCTTTAAGGTTGCCGAGGCGACGGCTCTGGCCAGAGCGAGGCGCATTGACGTCAGCAGCCGAGTGCTGATTGGCTGCGGCCAGCTCGTTTCCGGTGGAGCCGTCGCCGAGCCGCTATCGCAGAGTGGTGCCGGGCTGGAAGCGAAGCGCTGAAAAAGCTCGGCACGACGCAGCCTCGCACCTGCACCCCCGTGTCCGCCGCCGCCAGTCCCCAGGTGAGTGGGGTCATCCGGGTGATCCCGCGCAGTGAGCTGCTTCGCCTCGCCGCCCGTTTGGGGACGTTGGACCGATCCAAGATGGCGTCACGGGGCGCGACCTGCAGGGGGACGGCCGCACCCCCTGCCCCTCCCCGGCCGGGCTGGAGCCTCCCGTAGGCCTCGCGCCCCTGGCCGCGCCCCCGACTTGGAGTTTGCACCCCTGAAGCCCTGTGGTCTTACGGCGTCAGTTCCTGCCCTGGGCTACCGCCGCCCCGCTCCCCTCGCCTGCTTGCGTTCCCCCCTTTCCGTGGCGCTCGGGGCCCCGGCCCTTAGTGGCCAGTCCCGGCCGTCTTCGCCCCCGCGCTCCACGGCCTCCTCGCTTACCCTCCCCCATTTCCTGAAGGACGACAGCTCGGTTTTGCTGGAATCCGCCATCGCATCCCCTACCGATTCAGGCGCATTTTGAGATCTAGCAGTTTTTTCTCTCTCAATTTCTTTGTCTTTACTAGCAGTCTCTTTCTTAAGGGAATAATCCTCCTTCCCCATTGATCTTAATCTAGTTCCTAAATTTCCTTTTGTGGCCTTTCACCTCCTTTCCCGATTTTAATTCCTGAGGCCTCCTGGCCATCCCGGTGGCCCACCACCTAGAGTAGGATGAGGGTTCGGTCTCCTTTTTTCATTTTGTGGCCATTACCGTGGCCTCCGTGAAGTGAAGGGCACTTTCTTGCCCTTCTCTCGAAAATACGTGATACTTATTAACGCTTCCAGCTCAGTGCATGTATGGTGTCGTCTGACTGACTCCTTGCGAGGTTCCCAAGGTCCCCTCTTTTCCGCAGAGCAAGAAAAGCTAACGCTTTAAGATGACCCTGAGGAAATGTTACTTGGCAGGTCGAAGGGGGTGCGGTCTGAATCAGGAACTTTCTAAGTGGTTTAAAGATTTCCTAGGATATAATCCTTTCGGAACAGAATTTTATCACAAAGATTGCAGAAGAAATAATTTTAAATGTTTTGTTATGAGTAGGGACAATGCAGTGGAAGTTTAAAAGTTGTTAAATGTTTGTTTGTTTGTTTTTTTTTTTTGGAGGGGAGGAAGCTGAATTTTGGGCTCTTAATAAGGACAAATACCTAATTAATTCAGGTTTATTTGGTTAAAAATATTAAGCCTATGAAATTTGGTTCTTAAGGGGTTCACATGGTGCCTACATTAATGTTGGGGTATTTCTGTTTGTATCCTGTCTTATTACCAGTGCCATTTTTTTTTGGTCTTTGTAATATATTAGTTTTTATACAAATAAAACTGAGTTTCACACCTTAAGTCCAAATCTCTTATCTGTACCAGCCAAATATGATTCTTTGATCGGTTGAATACCTGGGTGGACATTCCTGAAATATGACTGAATGTTTTGAAGCATAAAAGGTCTGACTCAAGCATTGTTCTTCAGTATTATTTGAAACGCAAAAAATTCTACTGAAGTGGATTTTCAGTTCTTCTGATTTGCCTGGCCTGGAAAAGTGGCTGCTATAAGTAGTCTTATCTAGAAGAAATTAACTTTTTTTCTATCTAACGTTTACTTCTGAGGCAGCAGCATGATTCTTTTTCCACGGCTTCTAATTTGTGTTCTTGTGATGGAGCCGCAAACTTTCTCATAGTCTGTTAATTTGTCCACTTGTTATTGACCTTTATCATGAAAGTTGTCAAAACAGAATGAGTAACAGTGTAGCACTTCAGAATAACTCTTTACTCTGGTAGTACTCTGTTCTTTCACATTTGCAGTTTCATCTCTATGATTTCAAGAGTATGGTAATTAGAAAAGTCTGATTAGTATTGAATTCAGTTGCTGAGTAGAGGGGGAACACTCCTCTCATATAATTGCTTAGTAATTAGGAGTTGGAGGGAAAATGGGTGTATAACCCTATTGTTAAACTACTAAACTTTTAATTCCAGGGTGAGGTTAGCTGCTCATTATTCTGTTTGTTTTATTTTATATCAAGGTGCCATAGTTCAAGCCTTATAAAACCCATTAAATGCAATTTGCTGAATGTTTATGTAAATTTGAAACTTTGTGTTTTAACGCTTTCCTGTCCAGATGAAGGAAATGTTTTGACAGTTTTCTGTTAAAATCTTTTTACAGTTTCCCCTAGTTCCCCCAGGATTTTCCCTCTTTTACCGCTGAGCGTATTATCTAGGGCTGGCATCTGATAAAAGATTGCAGAGTAAAAGGTTGCTTTTAAAATTCATCTGAGTTTTCTTTTACGTTCTTTAAAAATTTTGATGATGTTGTAATCAGATCCTTTCTCTGTTGGTTTGCTGTGTGACAGTAGGATACTCCTTGGGATAGATGTTCCATATAGGGAATGTCAGACTTTGTTCTTTGTACTTACTTGCTTTCACTTAGAGCTGACATGTATGCACTTGTAATTCTCTGTCCTGTTTACCATTTACACACTTCCCACGTCATCGTGATTTCTTTTGCAAGGGAGAACTGAATGGAATTCCCTTAAGGGCCTGACTTCTCAGCAGCCAGCCTCTGCAGGGGATAGTGGCTCATACTTCCTCTCAGGAGCTGAGGTTATTGACTTTCACTGTTTCCTACAGAGCCCAGATCCTGCAGCAGGAACCAAATGAAACGCTAATTTAGAAGAATACTAGTTTTGTATATTTTTTATTCTCTACTCCCCACCTCCCTTTTTAAAAAACCAAATCTACTTAGAGTAAAATCCCTATGAACAAGTTGCCTAATGAATTTAGTAAGTCAAAGGCCAAATTGGCACTTGTGCTTTATAAATAGGTTATACATGCATGTGTGTTTTTTCTCTCAGAGAACCATGGCATCTGGCAGCACTGCCGCTGGTGAGGAGGAGCGCAGCCTCCGGGAATGTGAGCTCTATGTCCAGAAGCACAACATTCAGGCACTCCTCAAGGATTCTATTGTGCAGCTGTGCACCGTCCGACCTGAGAGACCGATGGCATTCCTCAGGGAATACTTTGAGAAGTTGGAGAAGGTAAAAATAAATGGGGAGATGCTGAGACAACCTTGACAATTGTTGAAGTCAGAGCAGTGGAGTGTTACTAATTTGTATCTTTGAGAAGAAAAGGAGTTCTGACAAATAAGATGTCAGCTAAGGCATTTGTAGTAATTTTTAAATTCTTAGTAGGATTTACCAGAAAATGAATCCATACGTTACGTTTACTTGCCTCACAGTTTCCAAACATACTTCTTTGTAACTGTTTAAATTAGTGCATAAACCTGACTATAACAGATAAAACTGGTCGGAAGTAGTATAGCAGTTTCAAGAAATGAGAAATTCTACAGTGTTTGAGAGCAGTTAATGCTTTTGTTGTCTTTGACAAAGTAAGTTTATTAAACCTTATCCCATCTTCAAAACTACTGTAATGAAACATTTTAATCTAGCTTGTGACTGGTATATCAAATTTTGAATTAGGGAAGTCCATTTTACTATTGAGTATATCAGAAATGAATTAACTGTAGAGAGGAGGAAATACCAAGATTGATGATTGTGAAAATTTTACTGTTTAGTTTTGCTCCGCACTTGTTTCCCTTGCAAAAAATAGATCAGGTTTTATTTTTTATTGCTCATCCTCATGTATATGTCAGTGTGACCTACATATAAGCTTTTTTAAGAAAAATAATTTTGCATCAAAGACAATACTTCAGTTCATTTCTCTCAAGAAATGATGAATAAAAAAGAGAAGGGATGAATGAGAAGTCTAGATCACCATATATTTTTATAGTTGGTGTGATTTGTTTCTATAAATCAGAGGGATAAATTTATAGATTTTCTTGTGCATAGTAAGTTTTTGAGGTGGTTCATAGTGATTATGAACCAGTTGGACATTTATTTGGCATATGATTATTGTGTAATAAAATGCTTGCATCATTGGCTTGGGCAATTTCTTAATCAGCATACTTTATTAGTAAAAGAATCTGTACACTATGGTTTAAAAAATATTTAGGTAGCTCAAGGATCAGGTATTTTCTGCTGTTTTCTTGCCAAACTTTTAAAATTGATATTTAATACCATGATTAGATTAATCAGAATAATTAAAAAAAAGACTAACAAGTCCCTAAGAAAGTAACTTTGCTATGTTGTAATTATAGTAGAAATTCTGGCTTTGTCTTATTTATACAATTTCCAGATAATGGCAGGACTGTAGAGCCAGGCCATGGGTATTTTTGTTTTGAAATCAAGTGCGTTCCTGGAGATCTGGTTCTGAAGTGGGTCACTGTAAGGCGATCTCTCATCTTCGGACATCAATAGAAACCATCAAATGAGAGGATTAAGTTGGTGAGACATTGAGTGTGTATCTTTTTATAGGGAGTGTTGAGTGTGTGGTGCTAGTTTCAGAGCCTGTTGTTACCACGCTGCTGTTTAAGGATTAGTTAAGGTGGGAAGCAAGAAATAATTATTTTAATAGTTTATTTGTTGATGGGATATCTAGATTTTATGGGTGTAGGCTTCTTTACTTCTTAAAAGTCTCAGCTGAATATATTTTTTATTATAATTCAATGATCTTTGTTTATTTGCATGCATTGCTTTAGCCAGAGTTGAGTATAAATAAATACCTGGATCTTCAAATAACTAGATTTTCAGCTTTTTAACAGGACATTTTTCTGTGTATTAAGTATTAATTTGTATGTTGAAAATATGCAGGTAGTCACATTTTTGTCACCTCTTTCCCAGGTTTCTAAGGTTATGTTTCTGGTACTTTCAACTACTCCATAAGAAATGTACCAGACAGCTTTCACAGTTGATCCATTGAAAGCTTCTGCATTTTAATTCAGACAGTCATCTGGAATTCAAGTCCTTTTTTTACTCATCTATTTATTATAACCTTCCCTGTTTTATAGATTAGAGGAATTATAATAGCTGTGACCTCTGAGTTGTCGCCTGTGTGCCAGATATTGTGTGAAGCCCTTTATATACATATATGTTTAACTCTTTATTTCAAATGTGTGAAGTAGTTGATTATTACCATTTTACAGAGGTGGCAGGTAAAAACTAAAAGAAATTTAAGTACCTTGGGGATGCAGTGTAGTCGTCAGCTTTTGCGGTGCCTCTCCCAAATCTCAGTAGCTTACCCCAACGGACCCTATTTCCGGTCCTTCGTGGCTCTTCTGCACTTGGCCTCTTTTGCCTTCTTGACTCCATGTGTTTTGTTTTGAGGCTAAACAGAAGAAGAAGCCACTTTATAGGGCATGCTGTTCTCAAAGCAGAAAGAGGACAAGCTCAGGGTAGGCAGAGCCAAATCACACATGCAGGCACGGTATAGCATGTCCACTTACATTCCATGGCCGAAGCCAGCCTATAGCCCAGCCTGAAGTCAGTGGGGTGGGAAGTACACTTCACCTATGGGGAAGAATGGCAAGGCCAGGGAAGGAACAGACAGTTGTGAAAACTTACTAAGTTGGGGGGACAGAGTCAGAAACTAAGAGCTAAGAACATAATGCAGTATTTAATGCAGAATATAATGTAGAATTTGAACTTAAAAGTAGAGACCATTATAAACCAATGAATAGACTGAGAGGTTTTGAAACCATTTTATTTCCTTGATACATAATACTTTCATTTTTATATGTACATTTGATAATTTGTATGCATGGAATGTGTAATGATCAAGTCAGGGTATGTAGGGTATTCGTTGTCTCAGCTGAAGAGCTGAAGAAGGAGACTGACAGCAGGAGGACAAGAGCAGGAGAAAGGATATAAAAGTCTACATACTAAAACTGGAGATTTCAGTGATGGCTCTGAGGCATCAGCATCAGGTGATAATTCAGATTGCTATCTTGAAAAGACTCGCTAGAATCCATGAGAGTGGAAAAATTAAAATGCTTTTGTTATTTCAAGATTATCTTAAAAATTCAGTGAAGTATAGAGTCTCAAATGAAAGATTATTTGTAAAATGTTTAATGACATTTTTGTGAAATGCCAATCAGTGACAGATTTGGGGAGGAGAATATACTTTTAAACTTTAAACTTGGGGGAGACTTGAGTTTTACAGTTCTGTGTTAATATGAAATGGTTGCTAGGAAATGGGAAAACTTTCCTGATTATTAGGAATACCAAAATGAAAATGAAGTCAGTTTTCTAAACAATATATTTTTCAAAAATAAGGTACTTATGCACATGTTTCAAAATTCTGGAGGTACAAAAGGGGGTATAACAGTAAAAGATGTCCTTTCTACCACCTCATTGCCTTCCTTGAATGCTGCAGGTGTTCTGGAGATAATATTTGGGCATTTAAACACAACTCTATATATAGAAGCGCGTCCAATTTCTTTTCCCTCTAGTACACACATGGCTTTCTCTTGTGTGGATGTGCTGTCGCTTATTTATTCATCCCTGCTGATGACCATTTTGGTTGTTTTCAATGTTTCATTCATAAAAACAAGGATACAAAGAATACTTACTGTAGGATATGCATATGCACATTCCTAAAAGTGGAATTATTAGGTTACTGGGGAAAAAAGTAAATAAATGTGCTTGTAATGAAGTAATATACAAAAATATTTTTGTTGTATGTTTTTTCTCATTGTTTTTCTTAATTGAAAATTAGAAAGCCCAGAGCAATGAGAAAAATAAAGATAACCTCTCTTTCTAAAAAAGAGAAAAGAAAAATCAGACATGTTCTTACTAATAGAAATCATCACTATCAACACCTTGATGGTGGTTGTTCTAGACTTTTCTTATTGCGTATAAATGGGTTTTAGATGTATTTTGATGCCAAAAGCAGGGAGGACCATGCAGGAAAAAAATGGATATGTCTCTAATTTTTTTTCTTTTACTTTTTCCTAACAATCATTAAATGCTGAGTTCATTTATAATTCAAAAGATGGTTCAGAAAAATAATGGCAGATGGGTCAAGTGAATGAGAAGGAAGAAGATAGAATACATTTTAATCTTTCCCTTTTTACTTCAGGCTCAATAGCTCATTCTCAACTGTGGGCCTGTGGGGAATTTCTTTTTTAAGGTTCAAATGTTTAATAGTTTATCTCAGGTTTTATATGAATTGGTTCAGTCAGAGGTAGTTTTCAGAGGTGGGTAAACTTGTATTCTAACTTCAAATATAGACCCTGATAATAACAAACGCTTCTAGCTCTTCTGGGAGAAGTATTAGATCTGATTCGGGGTTACCTTTATGGTTATTTGTGGATTATCTGGGATCCAGGCTAGAATGTGAATTCCACAGGCTCAGGATTCTTGCCGGTTTGTTTTATATTCTCATTACCTAAGGTAGGCCTTGGTATGGCAGATCCAGAAAGTGCTTACTGAATTAAAGAAATAAATCAGTAACGTAGACATTTTTTAATCACTTTGTGATTCTGAATTATTATTCCTGGAAAACATTCTTTTGGGGGAAGGTCTCTTATTCTCTGCAATAGTATTAAAAACTCTAATGTCCAGGATTTTGTTTTATAGTGGTGTGCATCACAAATCATTGTTACTACAGTATTATAATGGATATTTAACTTTTTACTCACGTCTTATGTGTCTGTGTACTAATGATTTTTTCATTAATAATGTATAGCCTCTGTTATCATTGGAGAAACAATCTTTTCAGAGTATTTCTTTTTGAAACTTTACTCTCCATCTGGTCACCATTTGTCATTGGCCTTTTCCACTTAATTTACATTGTAATAGAAGAAGAGATTTGAGGTAACGGAGACAGACTATCACTGGATATGAGAATACCAACTTTACATACTGAAGGCTCTCCTATCACAAACCTACACTTTCTTTCAGGAGGAGGCAAAACAGATTCAAAATGTGCAGAAAGCAGGCACTCGGACAGACTCGAGGGAAGATGAGATCTCCCCTCCGCCACCCAACCCAGTGGTTAAGGGTCGGAGGCGACGAGGCGCTATCAGCGCTGAAGTCTACACAGAGGAAGATGCTGCTTCATATGTTAGAAAGGTAGTTTTGATAGCTAAACATCGGGGGAAATGTTTTTGGGTTTCACTTGGTGGTTATCTAGCCTCCATTGATAAAAGCATGCACTACTTTGAATAGGAAAGTACAAAATAGAATAGATCTTAATCTGTCCTGTACAGTTCTTGGGTACCAGAGAATAGATTTCTGTAACAGCATTCCACCATAGGAAATAACTAAGTGATTATTAGTGAATAACTGCAATTGGGTTGGGGGCTTTTCATTTCTGTGCACGTTTATAATAGAAGCAGACAGCACTCTTTTTTCTCTTAAATTAATGGTGTTTTGATATCCTATAGTTCATGTTGCAGCTTTTTTTTTTTTTTTTTTTTGGAAACAGAGCCTCAAGCTGTCGCCCTGGGTAGAATGCCCTGGCATCACAGATCACAGCAACTTCTAGCTCCTGGGCTTAAGCGATTCTCTTGCCTCACCCTCCCAAGTAGCTGGGACCACAGGCACCCGCCATAATGCCTCGCTATTTTTTTGGTTGTAGTTGTCATTGTTGTTTGGCAGGCCCAGGCTGGATTTGAACCCATCAGCTCTGGTGTATGTGGCTGGTGCCTTAGCCGCTTGAGCTACAAATGCCAAGCCCATGTTGTAGCTTTTAACCTTTTATCATATGAACTTCATTTGTCCTAATCTGTTCCTCAGAGCTGGCTTCACATGTTGACTTAAGCTGTTAGCCTTAAAAAGAAACAGAATTGTACTGGCAGTGGAGGCTTGTAAAATTTACAGTACATGATTATAGCTTAAAAAATAACTTTTATAAAATAAGTAGTTTTGCTTCAGAATAATGACCTTGGTTAAGGTGTTTTTGGCATGTTTGTATAGTAGGTAACTGGGAACCAAGTAAAACAGGCCTGGCTATAGACAGAGGGATTATTTAGTCAGTATTTGTTCAGTACTCTGTGGATCAAAGGTAGTACAAGTATAGTGAAAGTATTTAATTCAAATTTAAGTACCTTCATTGGCTTGGCATGTAACTGAAATGCACATTGCAAACATTTCATGTTTTTGGCTTATGGAATTGTAATTTGACCTTTGATTCTTTTTCTAGGTTATACCAAAAGATTATAAGACAATGGCCGCTTTAGCCAAAGCCATTGAAAAAAATGTGCTGTTTTCACATCTCGATGATAATGAGAGAAGGTAGGAATGGATTCTTTCTTACACTACTTTTCCAGGAAGGCTGTGATCCCAAGTTATTCTCATCATTCTTGGAAGTTTTAAGGCTGTTAATGCTCACATGACAAACTGGGCTGAAAATCTGGGAGCTTTAATGTTAAGGTTATTGTTTCTAATCCTCAGAAGAAATGAGAAATATAACAGGAAGCCTTCTTTCTCTTGCAGTGATATTTTTGATGCCATGTTTCCAGTCTCCTTCATTGCAGGAGAAACCGTTATTCAGCAAGGTGAGGGCGGCTATTCCTGTGGCATCCAGTATTGTTATGGGATAGGAGGGAGACTAGAGGATTATTTTGGTTTTGTTTTATTAAAGTTTGTTTTTCTCTTCAATCCTCTCATTTTTCTTCTGTTTTACTATTGGATTTTCCCGTTTCTTTTCTAATTAAAATTTTCTGAGCTAAAAAGTACACTTTCCATAAGGGACTAGCATTTCTGATACAAATTTGTTTATAATTACTGTTAAAATGCTTTCATTTTTATTTTGAATGCTGTATGGGATTTTAGACTCATATACAGTAGAACCTCCATGGTTGTCCCCACCTCCTTACATTGACTGTCTCCTGAAGTTGAACTAATTTTAATAGACTAGACATGCACCACATGAACGAATCAGTACAGTAGGTCTCGTTCCTTATGTTGCCCACCTTTGTATGTTGCCCAGTGTGTTACAGTCCCTTGGGTAGTCAACTTAGAGATATTCTACTGTAGATCTCCTATGTCCTTTATCTTATTAACCACTTTATAAATAAAGAAAAAACCAAACACCTACATTCTTTGTTATCTAGCCCATCTGTTTATAAGGTTCTGCGCAGTCTGTAGAGTCTTAACCTTTTTGCCTACGTAGACTGACTTGGATCTCATCTTTTAGGTCTCTTACTCTTTTTTTCTCATTTATTCTTGACATTGGCATGGGTATTCATAAACCGTACATTCCCCCATTTTGTGGCAACCTGGTGTTTTGGTGTTAACTCTTGAGTTGTTTCTAGGCTTGTTTACAGATGCCACAGCACCTAATAACTTGGACACATGTGGCTTTTTCTTAGTTATTTATTTCAGAGGTATTCTTTACCATGGGATGCCTAAAAAAACCAGTCAGTTCTACAACTTTCATAATTACTTTGCTGGATTTTTTTTCCTGAAAGTTTGTGTTAATTTGCAACTCACCCTTCTCTCACAGCACTGTTACACATGTAAAGTGAGTTTATTATTTTATACTAAGTTGATAGTTTCTGTTTGTTTCTTTCATTTGGAATATGCTTCTGACTTTTTCACTTTCATCTCTTGTAGGTGATGAAGGGGATAACTTCTATGTGATTGATCAAGGAGAGATGGATGTAAGATTTAATTACAAAAATATGTTGATAATTTTAAAAGTCAGTGTGGTGATTTTTATTGCTTCTAAGTAACAAGAATGGTGTTTCTGAAGGGCTGTTAGAGCCCTTGAATGTAAAATTCCATCAATAACCTTTTGCCAAGTATTTTTATGACACAGAGAAGCCTCTTTAAAGGTAATTGTCTACTGAGACATGCCATTCAGAACTTCTCCTGGAGTGGAGGTTAAGGAGTTGCTTGCATGCACAAATGTAAAGGAGGATCTAGCCATTAGCTATGATGCTTAATACAGCTTTCTTAATCCTGTCAGTCTCGTTTCCAAATGCAATGTGGATAAGTAATAGCATCGATCTTTTAATATTACTAGAAATTCAGTAAGTCAGCACAGTACTCCAAATGTATATGATTGGTAATAATGCTTAGTTAACCTTTTTCCCTGATCATCCTTACAGAGTACTTTTTTCTTAAAATTAAACCAGGTAAATCATAGATGCTTTTAATGCTCTTAACTCATTGTCAGAAGTCAACTATTTTGTTTTGCTGTGTATTGGAAATGTAATATATTCTATTCTTTTTAAAACAAAGCTCAGGATTCTGACTCTTTAAAAAAGGTTTGAAGATTTTTAACACTGTGTACGTACATATGAAAAAATACTTTGATGTCATTTGCTCTTCAGGTGTATGTCAACAATGAGTGGGCAACCAGCGTCGGGGAAGGAGGGAGCTTTGGAGAACTTGCTTTGATTTATGGAACCCCTAGAGCAGCCACTGTCAAAGCAAAGACCAATGTGAAATTGTGGGGTATTGACCGAGACAGCTATCGAAGAATCCTCATGGTAAGAGACCGTGGTTTTCTGGAGTGTGATTTAGAACTCTCATCCATGTAACTAATGTTTGAATAATATCACTAAATTAAAAAGAGAATATGTCTTACTTTTAATGATTGAATACTTTGCCTTAAGCCCAATTTAGTATTAGTCATTGTGCCATTTGAGACAGTGATATTTTAAAACAAAAGTTTGGACAGGAGTTATATGGGAAACAAAATGTGTATATGTTACAGCTTATGTTTGGACATCTATCCATCGGTTAATAGGCACATCTTAACTAACTTTTACCCGTCACAGATAGCCTAATCGGGGCTGCTTTTAAGTGTCCCTATTTCAGAAGTAATCAACTTCCCTAAACAGATTGTGGATTATTAGTAATATAGATGTCATGTTCCCTCTCATTAAGAAATAAAATAATAAAGTCATTGGAACACTCTGATGATATAGTCAGACTTTTGAGAACTTGTAACAAGTTTATAGAGTGGATGTTTAAGTCTTGGCTAATGGTATCTGCCATTTTGAAAGGTTTTCTTAAATTCGTGCAGTGCCTATCTGGCGCTTTGAAAATATATACTTTAAAACTTTTCTGTATTGGGATATATATACACACATACTATATACAGTCAGGACTGATGTTTCTGTCAATGGCAGACTTCATAAACAATGGGTGATCTCATAAGGTTACAATACAGGCAGTCCCGAGTTACAAACATGTGACTTATGTATAGCTTGCACTTGCAAATGGAGGCTATTATAGGTAATAGGTAAATGTACGTGTTCTGACTTAAAGTTCACCTTAAGAACAAATGTACAGAACCTATCTCGTTCCTAATGTTGTACTGTATTTTATTATACCTTTTCTATTAGAGATGTTTAGATATACAGATACAGAGCAGTATGTGTTGTACCTTTCTGTAGCCTGGGGCAATAGGCTCTACCCCATAGTCTGTGTGTGTACTGTCTAGGTGTGTGTAAGTGCACTCTGTGATGTTTGCAGGATGATGAGATCACCCGCAGAGGCGTTTCTCAGATGGTAATCCCTTGTTATTCAGTGCATGACTGTATGTGTATGAAGATGTGTGTGTTCTGGGAGAGGGAGTGGCTAGGGCAATTACCATGGAAGGACGTTCTCTTAGAGAAGACTGTTTGTCTCTCCTCTGTTTTCCCCAGATGCGTTTAACAAACTTTGCAGATAAGACATCTTGGTTAAGTTTGAGACTATGGGGCGTTTTTTTTGTAGGGTGGGGAAGATGCCTATAAGTGGCAGCAGTTTATTTCCTTAGCTTCCGTGGGAGATTGGGTTTGTGGGGAAGAATCTTAGGCTGGGAGTAATAGCTGCAGTCACATCTGGCTTGGTTGTTTTAAGGAACTGATCATTTGCTTATTTGACATTTCACTAGTTGGTGATGCTGTGAACCCTCTTTGGCCATATAACAGGTGCTTCTCTTAGGAACAAGTTACCGAGAGCTTTTTATAGAACTGAACAGGGGCTTGTTATCTTCCAAATAAAGAAAAATGATCACAAGTGAAAGTGACTTATTTTTAAAATTTATTTGAAATTTAGTATTATTCTACTACATTTTGTGATAATTACATATTGGGGGATATGACATCTGTTATTTTTAATTTATAGGGAAGCACACTGAGGAAGCGGAAGATGTATGAGGAGTTCCTTAGTAAAGTGTCTATTTTAGGTGAGTTTTAAATAAGTGTGTTAAATTTGCTTGTTGTATGACAAACTCATTTATTAGAAATGGCTGGACTTAGAAAAAGCTTTCTGAAAGTATATGTGTTACTACTCATTCATTCCTCCTGCAGAGACAGGGCTGACAGCATCCTCCTCCTCCTGTGGATATTTCCTCTGTGAATTCTGTCTTTGTTCCATTGAGTTTATTGGTTCCAGAAACCAAGTATTTCCCGGGTGTGTTTCCTCTGTGGAAAGATTGTGTTAGTTGCTGGCATCCTCTAAAAAATCGCTGGATGTTTGTTGAAATGCAGAGGAAAGTGGGTTCATCAAAGACACTTATGTGCATTTTGTTATGTGGACTTCTACATACTAGGTAGAACCTGTTCTTCAGAATGTGGGGTAGTGATTTTTAAAAGTAAATATCTTCGCCATTGTTCTGTTACAGTGAATTGACTCTGGCCCCTCATTTGATTACATTTGTTTTGTGTTTGGGATATTAATTTGTCCTTTGGAAATAAAAAGTTATTTTCTAGCTCCTCTTAGGTTCATAAATAAATTCAGCTGAGAATTTAAATAGCTTAAATTATATCTATGAACCTTTGAAAAATTCTAGATAATGAAACTGTTAGTTTTGGGTGCTATTCTTACTCCATTGCCACTGGGTACGGTTGGTATAAATTAACCTGGCTACTGTGGTAAGGACGTGAGGGCCATCTGCAGGTAACAGGAGAATCTTGCTGAGACCAGCGGTAATTGAAGATAGGTGCCATGTTTAATCTGTGACACTACTAGATCGTTGAATGGTTAGATCTCTTTGTGATTTTCAAAAAAATTTTAGTATTACCAAATAATGTAGAGAAATTCTTTTGATTCTTGTTTTTTAGAATCCTTGGATAAGTGGGAACGTCTTACAGTAGCTGATGCATTGGAACCAGTCCAGTTTGAAGATGGGCAGAAGATTGTGGTGCAAGGAGAACCAGGGGATGAGTTCTTCATTATTTTAGAGGTAAAGAACTCAACATTTTATACTTATAAAAAGTTGTCCAGTATAAGAGGGGGAAAAGTGGGCTAATTCTGATTCCTAGCTTTACTTTTTGAGAATATCTGACAATTTTAATTACTTTGAAATATTCTTGTTTACTTTTCTGCCAAGCCACTACATTTTAAATGAGTTTGGGCCCTAGGCATGGTTAGTCAAATCTTAAATAAAACCTAACATTTGGCATAACAAACGATCATGATTCTGTGCCATCTTTGTTAAAATGCAAGTATTTGGATTATTTGGCAGACAAGGATCAATGGTAATTATTTAAATTTTAGAAGTTACTGTGTTTTATGTTTTCACAGTCTGTGGAAAAGTACAGCAGTTACTCTAGCTTGCCAGACAGATCCAAATATCAGATTTCTGTGACTGTGCCTTGATAGTTGCTAATTGGTTTTACTTAAACCAAGAGTTGGTGGACTTTTTCTGTACAGGGCCAGGTGGTAAGTAAGTTAAGCTTTGTGGGTTTTTGTTGCAGAGACTCAACTCTGTTGGCATAGTGCAGAAGCAGTCATTGATAATACATGAATGAATGAATGGGTGTGATAGTCTAATAACATTTATAGAGCAGGCAGCAAGCTTGGATTTGGCCCATGGTCTACAGTTTGTTAATTCAAATCTGCACTTTTTCAGTACCTTAGCTTGATAAGAGGAGCATTGTTAGTAGGAGATGCTAGTTAATCAGCAAGCATATGTAGTGACTAACTTTTTAGTCATCTTTTATGAACACAGATGAGTTGAAATAACCACCTAATTCTCCACCTACCTTCCCCCTCTTTTTTTGCAGAGTTGCTAAAATTGCATAGGATATTTTATATGCCACCCTGGGTTTGAAATTATTTGTTCAGCTTTTTGGTGATTTTATTACAGGGCTCAGCTGCTGTGCTACAACGTCGTTCAGAAAATGAAGAGTTTGTTGAAGTGGGAAGATTGGGGCCTTCTGATTATTTTGGTATGTGTAAATACATGGCTTCTGTAGGTCACTTCTCAGTGAGATAGTCTTTTATAATTTTGTCTTTTGTTCTCTTAAATTTTATTTTTTAATTGCAGTCTTTTGGGGCTTTCAGAGAAATAGTATGAGATTTTGATCTTTTCTTAAAATCAGCTAATAATGCAGTTCTTGTTTCATAACTATTAGTTGAGTTTTTCTTTTCAGTGCCAATGTGGTTTGGCCTGCACTAAGTTATTAGAGAAATAACTATCTGTTTTCTTTCTCAGAAGTGCTCCTCTTTGAGGAAATGTTTTTTGTAGAAAGTTTGCCTGTTTTTACTCTTTGCCTTTTCCCTTCACCAGGTGAAATCGCACTACTGATGAATCGTCCTCGAGCTGCCACGGTGGTTGCGCGTGGCCCCTTGAAATGTGTTAAGCTGGACCGACCTAGATTTGAACGTGTTCTTGGCCCATGCTCAGATATCCTCAAACGAAACATCCAGCAGTACAACAGTTTCGTGTCACTGTCTGTTTGAAATCTGCCTCCTGTGCCTCCCTTTCTCCTCTCCCTGATCCATGCTTCACTCATGCAGACTGCTTTACTTTCCCTATTTGCAGCGCCAAGTGGCCACTGGCATCGCAGCTTCTTGTCTGTTTATATTAAAAGTTGCTTTTATTGCACCATTTTTAATTTGGAGCATTAACTGAATGCTCATACACAGTTAAATAAATAGAAAGAGTTCTATGGAGACTTTGCTGTTACTGCTTCTCTTTGTGCAGTGTTAGTATTCCACCTGGGCAGTGAGTGCCATGCTTTTTGGTGAGGGCAGATCCAGCACCAAGTGAATTACCATAAGTAATGATGTAACCATGCAAGATTTTTTTTTTTAAGTGACATAATTTTCCAGTTATGAGCTTTTTTAGACTGTGGCCATATATACTGTATTTCTTTATAAAATAAATGATTTCTCATGAAGCTCTAAGGATTAGGAAAAATGGACGTAGAAAAAAATCCTAGTTTAGTAGAAAGGTATGTGATTAAACTAGTTTTAGGGTTGAAAAATGCCCATTTTGCTAATTAGCAGATGGATAGATCAGTTTTTTCTTTTTTACCAGAATTTTTGTTTGCCAAGCTAATTTGACTGGTTTTGTTTATATCTTATTAATGTTTCCTCTCCAATTCTGGAATATTTTAGGTGTGGCTATCTATACTTGCCTTTTGAATTTGAAACCGAATCATAGGTTATAAATATTGGGTTATGGTTTAATTGCATCTGCCCCAGCTCATAAATTCTGATTAGACCTTATCCAGCTAGTGCCAAATACTGATCATAAGATGCTGAATTAAGAATAAGAATTTGAGGTCTATACCCTTGATTGTTAATGTAGAACTTTTGGTTAATGTACAACTTTAGTTGACTCCAGTATAATCTCCTATGCTTATTAAACTCTGATTCCAGGAAACTGGATTTGCTGAGACTAGGTACAATGGGGGAAATGTCATAACAGAGAAGTGAAGGTGATTTTGCTGAAGGGAGAAATGCCAGGTAGACAAAGTTCAGTGTTAGGAATTTTCCTGACTAAATTCATTGGAACATGAGCTTTGGGAAGAAATTTTTTACTTTGGTTTAGCCTTTTTTTCCCTCCTTATGTCAACTACAATTTCTGGTGGGTTAGGGATGGGGTAGGATGTATCTGTGTTGTTTCAGATTGGTCTAAGAGGCCATCCTGCTGAGAGTCCTGCTTTCCTTGCTAGCATTTATTTCTCTGGAAAACTTTTTTAAAAGTAAACTTGTGTTTTGAGTCTTAACTGTTATTTCAGTATTTTCCAGCCTTATGTGTTACATTATTCCAATGAAACCCAATGGTTTATTTTTATTATTGTTATTTTTTTAAACAAAATTTCACAGTTCTGTTAATGTAGGCACTTTTATTTTTATTGTGATTTATATATAAGGTAGGGTTATATTTGGGAGTGACTTGCAAGCATTTTCCATCTGTGTGCAACTGGCTCTGATTATTGATCCCCTCTCTTACTGTTTCCCAACTAATTTAAATTGGTCATGGTAGATTTTTTTCATAGATTTGAAAAGCTTTTAGGGTGTTACTAAGTTTGGAGTATAAATCTGGGGAAGGAGGTTTTATTTACATTTTAGTATGGGATGGAAAGCCACTTTGTTACAATATGTCCAAAAAATTCTATATTGAATGAGGGTTTTCTGATCTATACTTTGTGTTTAGCTACCTTTTTATATTTAAAAAATTAAAATAAAAATTATGTTCTGATAAGCTTAAAGCTTGATTTGATCTTTGTTTAAATGCCAAAAATGTACTTAAATGAATTATTTAGAATGCCATAAAATTGCACAGTTTCATATATGTATATAATCATGTTCTTGTACATTCAGATACATATGATGCTTTCTAAATGAGTTTACTCAAATGATTTGGCTTGCTGTTTACTCCCTTTTGTAGTTTTTAAATCTAAGACATTTTAAGATAAGTCTAAATTTAAAAATTACCACCTTTAAAGCTTTATCTTTGTGCTATCTAAGTATATGTGAGAAATTACAATTGGCATAATTTGTCTAAGTTGATATTCAGGGCTTTAGAATTCATTGTTTCTGGGCTTGGTAAGTGAATTCATGAGATGTGCTCCAGAAAGTATAGATGGCCAAAGGACCATTTTGTATTCTTTCCAGGTTCCCAGTCTGATTATACTGTGTGTGCTAATATACTCTATTCTTTTTGTTATAGATTGTCTTAACGGTAGGTCAAGTAATAAAAAAGAGATGACATAATTTACATTTTTAAATGAATCAGTTTTTCTTTCCTTTCTCCTTTTTTCCTCTCTGTCCTTCCTCAAGTCTTCTATTCTGGTGGGCAAGAATGAACAGGGAAAGTAAATTACAGGATCACTGTTATGAAAGAGTAAATACGCTTATTTTTAATGCTTTCCATTTCATTTTGTCAAAGAATGGATCTCAAACTTTGCTTAAAGGGTAATTGAGATGTAGCAGGTTTATCTACTGAGATATGGGAGAAAAAGATTCAGTCAAAAGCTAAATATTTCCTTTTTATTGAAGACAGATTGGCTTTTGGGAATTCCTTAGACTTAATGGGGAGACATTATTTTTGGAATAGCATATTCGTTGTTTTAAATTTAATATGCACTTAACTGCTTATTATATATATAAAGCCTTATTTCTGATGTTTTTTTCTCAGGTTTCTGAGGAGTGAGATGAATAAGTTGTATTCATTGGCATACTGGTATTTCTTCACATCCGGTGACACTGGAGATACATTATATGCTAGAAGAACATTCTTTAACGTGTGTAGCTTGTCCAGGTTCAGTAGTCCCTGAAACCTTTAGAGTCACAACAGAATATAACTAAAGAAGATGTTTGTGAGTTGACTGTCCTGGTTTATAGTTTAATTCTCTCTCTAAATAGTAGCCTATATTTATAGACTCATTGTTTGTTTTTTAATGACTTAAATGTTGACATTTAAAAACTGAAGTAGCATGTCAGTTTTCTTAATACTGCTGTATCTCCAACACAAATTAATAGCTGAACTCTTTATGCTTATGTTAGGTCATGGCAATAAAATAAATACTTGCATAAAAAACTTGTATTTTTAGATGGGTTAAAACAGTGTGGAGGAGCAATGGCTAGATTGCTCCACTTAATTTCCCTCAAAAGGTTTCTCATACAGCTCCCAGTAAAGGCTGGAACCATGTGAGTTTAAAAGGGGGAATGTTACACCTCTCCCTTCTTGTGCTATGGGAATTTTACATAGAAACCAGCAATGTTGTGTACATTGACAGCTACATTTGTTTCTTGACATAAGTTCAGAGCTGTGACTTCATCTCAATCCCACCTAAAATTAAAATCACTGAGTATGATTTCTTCGTTTTCTAAAAGAAAGTTCTCCCAGTTTTGCTGTGTTATTTTTAAAGGCTTCCACTAGATGGAGAGCCAGTTTATCTTAGATAATCTCAAATGAATTAATAGTCGGTTCTTACTATTTATGGATTCTGTATTTGCAAATTTTCCCACTTGCCAACATTTATTTATGGCCCCCAAATTAATAGTCACACCACTTTTATAGACATTAACAGACCGGGGAAAAATTGGAGCCTCCCAAAGTGCATGTTTCCAGTGATGTCAACAAGGGGGCCGCTCAGCCACCTTGTTTCAGCTTCTGAATAAGTGTCCTTTTCTTAGTCGTTAGTGCCACACTTTTGACTTTTGTGCTTTTGGTTGGTGATTTTGCATATGTGATGCTGAAGTGCTGACTAGTGTTCCTAGGTGTGAGAAGGCTGTGATGTGCTTTACGTAAAAAGTACGTACATTAGGTCAGCTTCATTCAGGCATGGGTCACAGTGTTGTTGGCCATAAGTGCGATGTTAATGAATGAATCTAAAATAAGCTATCTTAAACACACCTTACACATAACACACATAAGAGTAAGACTGTGTATTTATCAGTGGATAAAAATGTGACCAGAGACTTCTAGGAACCTAGCCATACATTTCCCCTAGGAGCAGTGGGTTAGTATTTGCCGATTCTGTGCTTGTGGTAACTAAAGAACATAAAACTACCACTTAGAAGAAAATTGGCTATATTTTTCAGTCTTCAGCTCAAGTTGTCCTGATTTGGGGGAAGGCTAAAATAAATTCCTTCAAGCCCATCTCTCCATCAGTTTACCTACTGTGCAGTTCCCTTTCCTTTTTTAGTCTTCTGTCAGTAGGAACAAAAGTTATCACATAGAACTTATATTTCATGGGATATTGAACGGTGATTCAGAATGAACAAGTTGGAAGAAATTGATCGTTTTAAGAATGAAATGTTTTGTTTTCTGATATATTTGAAAACTGAGTCTTAATTTTGTTTTTAGGTAAAAAATACTGAATTGTTAAAAGACAAGTAAGAACAGAGTACAGAGGTAGTCTCCATACCATGGTCAAATTCAAGTCCTTACTACCAGTTTGTAAAGTACAGCAGAGTTATAGGCCTTTCACAAACCAGTTGTTTGTTACAGAGGTGGCTGGTTTGAGATGGAACTGAGCTTACCTCCCTGAGGCTCTGCAGTTTGGAGTCCCAAACCATTTTGCGCTATTCTTTGAACAATTTTGCCTGAATATTTTCACCCACTCCTTTGCGTGTGCTCTCCCAGTTCCTTGTAGGGGAGAGTTCATGAAGTAGGAAGTCCTGTGCTGCAGTAGGGCCACCTCAGAGACGCCTCTGGGGTAAAGTTCTGTGTTAAGTATTTTATTTTTTTTAAGCAAACAAATAGAACTTTATAAATTGAGATGCTTTGGGGTTTTTGTGTTAGAGTGGAAAGAACACCTTGGGATAGGTCCAAACCATTAAATTGTGTGATTTTAGTTAATATCTCTCAGTCTTAGTTTTCTTATGAGCATATTGGAGGGATTGGAGGGTGGGGCTGTGTCTGTACTTGGTAGCACTGGAAACCTGTGTGTTGATTCTGAGATGCAGGTGAAGTGCCTCATACAGGGAAGAAGACCTCAGTTGGTGGTAGTGATGGTATCGTGGAGACATAGTCGAGGGCAGGATGCCATGATGTGAGGGTAACTGGGGCATCGGAAGTGTCGGTTACTGGTCTCTTGAGGCTGTCTTAGGACACATTGTGGAAGTCTTGGATGACATTTGTAATTCTTGACTTTGTACTTTCTTTAGTGACAACTCCTTTGTATTCCTCTGACACTTCTAGTATTTGAACCTTTGGCCTTCATCAGAAAGGTTGATCTAAGGCAATCCGGCATTTTTACTTGCTAACTGACTAATCACCGCATAGGATGAATACGTTCCTCTCATTTGTATTACTGACTATGGAGGAAGATCCTATTGTAGGAGTTTGAGATGTCAGCGTGTCAGTAGGGAGAGGGTAGAGACAAGGAATCCCTGCCGTGCTATCTATCAAGCCAGCAGCCATCTGGAGGGCCATCCTGGGGAGGTGGGGGACAACCCTAGGATTCTATGGAAGAGGATGTGGCTGGTGGGCTGTGGTAGGCTCCAGCTCTTTTCCTGCCTTGCTCCAGGCTTATGTAACCTGCAGGCCTGTCCCTGTGCTGTCCCTTTTCCCTCCATCAAAATGTCTGCTGCTGTTACTGGTTGCTACGTTGACATGGTGATGTTATTTCAGTTGATGTTTGACCTCTTCAGATTGAAACACCCTTTTTCTGATACTTTGAGCAAATCCCTATTTTATTTTTACCTTTTATAATTGATATTTCTGAGGAGTTATTCTAGGGCGGGGCAGTAAGGATTATTATATTCAGATTGGACCAGTGACTGGAATAGATTCTTATCTAACTAGAAGGTGGAAAGTCTAATTTGAACGAGTTTAAGAGTAACATATGCATATTTTTAGTTTGCTTATATGCCAGATCTTTTATCTGGAACAGGAATTCTCCTTTACCTGTGGATATAATAATAAGGATCAGGAGGACAGTTGGGCATCCACTTGATGTCCTTTTATTTGACTTGTTACAGTTAATATTCTCCTGTGAACAAGGTTTCCAAACCTTCCAAGCCTGACCCATATGCAGGTTTCCCAGTGTGCTCAGCAGATAGTCTGTGGCCTTGGTGAAGCCAGTGCTGTCTGGGAAAAACAGTCCAGGCAGTTCACTATAGAAGCAGAGCACCCAAGAGTGAAGATCACGTTCAGTGGATCCCATGGGCTGTTTGGAATTTCCTGAGCTCATGACTCGACCTCCAGCTTTAATAGGTGGAAGTGAGGAAGCAGTGGTTTGCGCTCCGGAGGCTACTGCCATTGGCTCCAGGTGAATTTTCTGGAAATTGACCCTTGTGGCCCTTAGTTTGTCAAGTTAGCCTGGCCAGAGTCAGGGGCAGATTGTTCTGCTGGGCCGTTGGCTATGACGCTCTGCTCTCCGTGGGCTTCTACGCACCTAGCCACTGTCCTTAGGATGATTTGCAGTCTTCGATCCAGGGCAAGGAGGTGGGGTTCTGTGAGGACAGGGGTGAGCTGGTCTTCTAGCAGTGACTCCCGCATCACGTCACTGAGTTTATAGTCGGCTTGGGCCAGCAGCTGCAGGTGCAGAAGTGTTTTCCTTTTTATCCTGAGAAGACACAATCATAGGAACCAAATAAGTACATGTAAAGAAAAGAACTTGCTTGAACTGACTTCTTTCCCCCTGCACTGCTGTGGCTGATACTCTTAGAGCATTCTCCCCCAGTGTCCTCTCAAGCACTTTTTAATGAACACGAGGTAAAAAGGGAATGAATAAAAGGTAACGTCCGGTACTCGGCAGTCCTTCGCCCTGTTGCCTTTTGATCAAGAACCTGCAGAGCCACTTGAACTCTAATAATTGTCGTGCCACACGTGGCCCTGCTGGGACATACGCGCTTGCTCTGATGTTGCTAAGAGAATCAAAACCAAAGTGACACTTAGCATTCTACAAGGAGATGTGAAGCTAATGGGAGAACCTTCCAGTAGGTAAAATGATGTAGCTCACTGCCATCTCAGTACTGCCAGCTTCCAAGTTGTTTCTTGCTAATTGTTACGATTCTCTGGGTCAGATTCTAAAATCAGGGGATGAAAGTGGCATGGACCAGTGTTGACTTTAAGATTTCGATTTCTTTTCACGCAGGCACCTGATGTGTACTCAGATGTGTAAGCAGCTTCATTGTCTGACTGGCTTATCTCCTGCTGCTTAGGAGGTGCGCATGGGAGGCAAGGGCAGCATTTTAAATTTAACCTAAGAAGGTGAAGAATACTCATCCTCTGCTCTGGGTTTTCCAACAAATGAGGTGGTTTTACTACATGTGA